GGGTTGGGGGCAGGGCTGGGAGGGTGGTTTTGAGGGTTAGTTTTTATTGTGGGCTATGGGCTGTGCGTATAGGGTAGAGGGGAGAGGGTAGAGGGTAGGTAGTGTAGTGTAGGCTAGGCTAGGGTGATTAATCGAGGAGATTCTGTGGTTATGATATCTGCCCTGCCCTAACCCTGCCCCAGCCCTCTCCTATCATCTCCTCTCCCTTTCTCCTCTCCTCTCACAACTTACCGCCCTCTACTCCCATCACAAATTACCGCTCCTCACCTCCTTCGGACCGTGTAACGGACGAAAAAAAAAAGAAAGAAAGAAAGAAAGAAACGAAGAAAGAGAGGAAAGGATGTTTCAGGGTAGGTAGAATAAACGAGTATAAATATCTTGCGAATATAAAAAGAAGAAGGAAGAAAGAAGCACAAGTACAAAGAATGTAAAACGAGCAAAGAAAAGGGCAAAGCAAGAGAAGATCTTATTAGCAGAATTGTAAATTTCTAAATGAGACGAGATACGAAAACCTCTACCGTGATGAATCATCTCCAAGGCTTCGCTGCGGATCGCCCATTATACATACCTCATAGGGCAGAAGCTAGCAATATTAATATTTAGGCCACTTAGACATCAGCTTTCTACGGTTCCCTATGTGACTGGGCCTATATATAGATCGCCGCGAAATTTGATGAACCTGGACTCCTTCGTCCTGGACTTCTACCTACGGAGCAGTACTGGTCTGGTGCTAGCTTAACCTACTGTCGTCCCATCTAAATTTCTTAGAGAGGATTTATTATGGTATTGAGAAGTTGAAGAAAGGGGGAAGCGGAAAAGGATCTTAGATGTAGACGAGTTTTTCTTGGCGCAAAAAGGAGATTTTCGAGCTTGGCTTCTGTTTGTGATTAAGCGAGTAGTGTTGTAAATATAGGAACGTGTAGTAATTTCAAACAAATGATCCATCCACCTTAATGGAACCGCCGAAGAATTAGTTCTTATATAGAAAGATATTATTTAATTCTCAGAAAACCCGCTTTCAAGAGGTAAAACCCTTTCGCATGGAAAAGACAACCAACAACCAATCGAAGAACTTTATCGATTCCCCTTCGCCCCAGCAGGTGCATCAACCCGTCTCTTCTTCAACAGATTTCCCAGAGAGTCCCGCACCTCGGGATCATTCCGAATCGTATTCTGTACCAGCCAATCCTTCACCTTCCCTTTCATATCCTTCAACGCCCCGCTCTGGCCCGCGAACGGCGTCATCTCCATGCCCATTAACCGATTGACTTCTAGATCTGCGGCGCGAGTACTTTCTTCTAACCGCTGTAGTGTGGCGTTCAAGGCTGCTTCTGGTGTTCCTGTTGCGGAGGCCGCCTGGGGTGTTTCTAGCAAAGGCCCGATTTGCGAGAATGCTATGTAGAGCGTGATGCACATTTTTTGCGCTAAGCTGATGAGTTGGAAGGGGAGGTAGGGTGGGTGATTGGTGAAGGTTGTTATGAAGGGGTTTATGATGTTGGTTGCTATGCTGGGGAAGTAGGGGCGAGAAATGGTGTGTAGTTCAAAGACGCAGAGTCCAACAAGGGTTAGCCATCGCCAGAATTGTCCCCATTGTAAGTATCCCAGCCAACCAAGGATGTACATGAATACGCCTGCGACGCCGTAGTAAGGTAAAATATCCTGCACGCCTTTGAGGATGTAGTCATATATTGAGGCGCATCGCTGCCACTCGTGCATCGAGGGTCCGAATCGTTCGTATGCGAATCTTTTTACGGGGTTCACGAGCGTTTCTTGCGCGAGGCGGAGGTGGACAAAGTATTCTTGTGTGTTGATGCCGCCATTTGATCCTACTTTGTCCGGGTGGTAGGTTGCTGCTAGTCGTCTGAATCGAGACTTTATATCTCGGTCGGTGGCAGTGAGGGGAACGCCTAGGTCGGCGTAGTAATTTGATGCGCGACGGATATCATAGTCGGCTTCGTAGATGGTATATAAGAGGTATGCGGAGACGACGAGGATGTGTATTCGCCGTCTGTGAAGCATGTATTTGGGAGTGTTGGGTTGTGGTTTGGGGTCGCCGGCGCGGACTGTTATCCCATAGTAGAGACTTTGTACCCATCCTGTTACAAGCTGGAGATAGATTAGCTATGAAATACGTGAGCGGACTTTGAGGAGAGAAGATACATACGTTGGGTAGAAAAGTCCAACCGGCGAGAGAAAGTAAATTATTCGACATGACGATGTGATATCTGGGTCTCCAGCTCGGTAACTCTTATAACTCTTGGTGAGCTACAGTACAGCTACTAGATTATGAAGAGTATGCCCATGCGCTGGGAAAAAGTTAAGATTGAAGAAGAGGAAGGGGGTCAAAGAGTTGTCGCCAGGGACAGAAAAAGTCAAGAAACGTAAGGAAGTTGCAAAGTATCAAGAGTGAGGACACTGCTGCAGAAAGCAGAGAAACGAAGGTATTTGCCCCGCAAAGAAAGACACCGTTGTTTTCTTTCGTCTCCAGCTCCAACTGGCGCACCAGAAGCAGCCGCTTGCTCGAGGCTGAGGTGATGTGTCCTATTCCGGGTGCATGTGGCGCTAGTAGGGGTCCACGCCACACTTGGCGCCACACCTTTTTCGCAGCCCTGCAGCAGATCAGCTTGGCCTTCCAAAAACTTTTTGATCGCAAGCCTCGAGCAACCGCGGGACATTCAAACATCGCCAACCATCAACAAAATATGTCAATTGAAGCGCCCACAGCACCCACAACATCCAAATCTACTGCAAAGATGGCATCCGAAAAGGCATCATCGAAGGGAGAGAAAAAACACAAATCATCTCATAGCGAAAAGAAGAGGAAACGAGATGCAACGGAAGACGGGCATAAATCAAAATCGAAAAAACTCAAGGCCGACAAGCTTGTCGCTGCTACAGAGCCAGAAGCAGAAGTAGAAATCGCAAGCCCGGCAAACAACTCACACGAAAACTCTCCATTCCACGTCCAAACATTCTCATTATACCTCCCTCTCGCGCCCGTATCGCAGAAATTTCCCCTCGAAGGTCTTTGCGCGGAACATCTTTCCCCGCTCATCCTCACCTACTACCCACCTTTCGCGGGTGTCATACTCGCCTATGACAATCCTCGATTTTCAGAAAAGGCCTTTGGGAACGATGGTACAAACGGGGCGCTGTTGAAGAACGTGGATGAGTACGCGGTTAGTTGGGCATGGGTCACAGCCGAGTTTCTGCTGTTCAAAACAGACAAGGGGACCGAATTGGAGGGATACGTGAATTATCAGAATGAGGGACATCTAGGTGTCGTGTGTTGGAATATGTTTAACGCGGCAATTGACCGTTCGCGTCTACCTGCGGACTGGAAATGGGTTAGTGTGAGCGAGTTGGAGGCCGAAGAGGGCGCGGAGGATAATTATGCAGAGGATGGGTCGGGATACTACGTCGATGGCGAGGGCAAGAAGATTGAGGGTAATGTCAAATTCCGAGTCAAGGAAATTGAAGCGAATCATGATCGCGAGCGGGGGTTTTTAAACATCTCTGGGACTATGCTGGGGCTGGATGAAGAGGCTGCTTTGGCTGAGAGGGAGAGGACGACGGCTCCAACGACGAAATCACCTACGTCGAAGAGGTTATGGCCTTCGAAGGCGGTGGGTGGGACGAGTTTGGGGGTTCCTGCGGATCCGGATGAGATGGATGTGGATTCGGGGAAGAGGAAGCATAGACATCGGTACTGAACACTTTTGGAATCTTGAATTTTGGATGTGGAGATAATGAGAAATATGGATTTCATTAATATACCCGAGAAATTCCATTTCCTGTTTTTTCTCAATCTATCATCACTCGAGGTCCACCTCCGGGCAGCTGAGACCTAACACGTGACATGGCGAAATCCCTATGAGGTGGGCTAGGACATTATGAAACGCAAATCTGATTTCCAATCTCCCCTCTAAATTCCCCTCATCATCTTCTTCCTCTTCCTATTTCTCATTTCTCATTCCCATCCTCATCCTCAAACAACAACTCAATTCATCTCGAGAAAAACCCAGTATCGAGAACCCACCATCATCAGCTTTCAAGATCTCATAAACACAATGGCAAGTAAATTTACTTACCACACTACAACACAAAGATTCTACCCTCAAATTAATCCCAATCCCAATCTCAAACCCAAACATAAACTAAACATAAACTGATGATCCATAGGTCCACGCCGACGCAGCGAATTTCGGGGAAGGGAAGGGGAAAGAAGAGGTTTATCGGAGGCTGATTGAGGAGGCTGAGGCGCTTTTTGTGGGGGAGAGGAATTGGGTATGTTTTTTTTTGGCTTTTTCTTTTTGTATTTTTTGGGGGAAGGGGGGGGAGAGTGTGAGATGTGTGGATGATGGCTGATTTTTTGGGTTGTATTGGTGTAGGTTTGGTGAGTTATTATTTACCCTTTTTTCTTTTTGGGATTTTGATCTTATTTTTGAGAGGCTTATTGCTGGAAGAGTGGGAAGAAAAAGAGGGTGAGAGGATGAGATGAGAGGATGAGATGAGATGGATGGATTTTAGATTGTACTGTACTGGATTTTGGAGTTGGAATTGGGAATGCAAGCAGGTCCAGATCAACTAACCTGTGTCTCTAAACAGTAATCTCGCAAATACCGCCTCCCTCCTATGGCACGCCTACAAATCGCTCCCATCCCCTTCATCAGAAGTAAACTGGGCTGGTTCGTCTTTTCCTTCCTTCCTCTCCATACCTCCCCTCTCACACCCTCTCACCACTTCCTCTTCTCCACCAACCAACTAACCAATCCAAAAAAGGCTTCTACACCCTCCACCCCACCCATCCCCGCACCCTCCTCCTATCCCCCTTCCAAGGCAAAGTAGCCTGTCAAACCATCGCCTTCTCGCGTGGTGTATGTGGTAAAGCTGCTTCTACAAAAACTACCCAGGTTATTCAAAACGTAGAGGAATTCGAAGGCCATATTGCGTGTGATAGTGAGAGTCGGAGTGAGATTGTTGTTCCGATTTTTAGGGGGGGTGGGGGTAAGGGTGAGGGGAGGGGTGAGGAGGGGGAAAGAGAAGGAAGGGAGAGGGAAGTGGTGGCTATTATTGATGTTGATTGTCGGCTTGTTGGGGGGTTTGATGAGGTTGATCGGGTTTGGTTGGAGAGGTTGGGGGGGTTGCTTGGGGGTGCTTGTGATTGGTAGGGGACATGTATTACTACTGTAGTAGTGTAGGTCTTGGAAATTGGGTTGATGGATAGATTGATGGGCAAGGGGCTGTGGGGGTTGAATGGGATTGTGAAGGGGAAGGGGAAGTTGAAGGGTAAAAGGGTGGAATTTAGATTTGATTTCTGATGAGATGTTACGAGCTGGTGAGAGAAGAGTGATGTAAGATATTTACTGTACTCGATTGGTACCTAGATACTTAGATGATGTGCGTGTGGGGAGGTAGATGGTAATACTCGAGTAGAGTGTTTCTTGTCCTGAGTATCAATTAGTTTGGTTTATACTATATTGTATCATATAATAACTCTCCAGGACCGTTGAAGCTACACCTGTACCGTGAAATGAAAATTTAAACCAACAGGCCTTTGTCAAGGACTAATAAGGCGCGGAGCAGCACCGGGATATGTACCGATATGTCCCGCTCGGTTGCTCGAGTAAATAGATACTTTCACCCGTTTCAGCCGCAGAAGTTTTGAGTTCTCAGTACCGTAATCCTTGGCTCGTTAGGGATGCTGCAACATAATCTTGAGGTCTTGGGATAATCATCCTTGTACTTGTTGGACTGTCTATTCGAAGTCACGAAGAAGTATCCGTATAGAGCGTTGAAGCGCTGCTGCTTTTACCGTTTTCGCGTTGTGGACGTGGGGGTGGGGGTCGGGGCGTGGGGTATTTACATTTGCAAAGTGACGCGACGCGAGATCTGAGATCGCCCAACCGAGCCCCCCTTTTTGTCTTGAGGGGAGGGATCAGTGCGAGCCGAAGGTGTGACGTCATGTGTATATACGTCATGGGCATGCCTTGTGTTTTGGAATTGCGATCTGAGTACTCGGTATACAAATATGGAATCGTTACTTCGAAGTTCGAATTCTGAACGACACTTTGTGATGAATTGAATTTATATACACATCAATTTTCAATCATAAATCATAATCGAAACCAAAAAACACAATTACACCAAGATGCCACATTCCAAACGGCCACTCGAGGAAGTTGACGGCAATGCGTTGAAAGATGGACAGACGCATTCGCATTCGCATGCGAAACGTCAGAATTTCTCTATGCGTGCTCCTTTAGCTGCGAAAGATGACGATGTCGGGGATGAGAATGCGGAGGTGCATACAGCGAAGAAGATTTAGATGGTTGAAGAGCATGATGCTTATGATGATATGTTGGATTATAAGACTATTGATTATACGACGAAGGATGATAGTAAATTGCGGTGCTTGTTACGAGATCGTAATTTGTCGGATACTGGTCAGTTATTCTCTTTAAAATTATGGATTTTGGTGTGGTATTGAGGAGAGTAAAAAGCTGACTTTAAGATTTTGAATTGGTACCAGGCACGAGACAAGAGATGATCAAAACCCCCCAACAGACAGCTCTCGACTATGAAACCTTTACATCCGACGAGCTCACAGAGATGCTATACAACCGCCACCTCCGCACCGCCACCGGCACCAAACAAACCAAAATCGCCCGCTTACTCCTAAACGACCACCTCGATTGTCACAGCGGGAATTCAGAAGAAGGCATCCTCTACGGCTCAATCTGGGCCTTCGACGTGATCCCCATCTCCATCAAACGCAACGAAGAAGAGCTCGCCGAGAAATACAATTCCTGGACCGAAGACCATCTCCGCAAACACCTCGAGGAGAAAAACCTGTCCACCACAGGAACTGCAAAAGTCCTCGCGAAACGCGCACTCAAAGCTGAAAAAGAACACAACGATAAATACTGGGAGGACCTCCTCCTACGTAAAGATAGTCTCCAAGCTGAACTCGATGCCCTGGCGGGCCACGCCGTCGACGTCTCGGCCTTCATGAAAGCAGAAGAATGGATCAGACACCGGGATCACAAGATCCAATCCGAAGCCAAGCGCGCCACGCCCCGAAATCCGATCTGTGACTATGATATCAGTACTTCGCCCTGGGCGGAGAAATCGGAGCTCGAGCTCCACGTTGTGTGTTTGCAGATGGGGATGCCAGGACGGGGACATGCGCCGAAGGCGGCGCAGATTAAGTGGCTTGAGACGGGGAAGTTTGAGTATTCGGATTTGTATATGGATGGGCTGCTGATTATCTGTGAGATGAGGTTGGTGCCCACGACGAGTAAGATGAAGAAGGGGGAGGTGATTGAGCTTTTGGAGGAGTGTGATGAGAGGGAGGGGGTGAGTGGGTGGACGGCGTGGGATGAGCCGGTTAGGACGAGTATGGTGGAGGTTTGGTATGAGGGGGCTGAGGATGTTGAGGGNTGAGAGGGAGGGGGTGAGTGGGTGGACGGCGTGGGATGAGCCGGTTAGGACGAGTATGGTGGAGGTTTGGTATGAGGGGGCTGAGGATGTTGAGGGTGGGGGGGTTGAGGTTTGAGTGATGTAGGTTATGGTTTCTGAGCTGGATCTCAGTGATTTCAATTTTCTAATTTCTTAGTCCTAACTTATTGATCCTACAACGTCAAAAGAAGAACTCGTTGTAATATTGCCCATGTGTGATTTATTGAGTAATCATGAGAAGTAGTTAGCGTGACTACATTCCCATCCTACGGTACCTTCCAGCTCGAATGTTTATGATACGGCCCTTCCTGCTCCAACTTTCTGTGTAACTCCTATAATTATCTGCACACTCAGTCAACAATCAATTGCTACCCTTCTCGCCTTGTTATGTTAACTACAATTTTACCACGAGCCGCAGTACTTCGAAACAGATTCATCGTACAAACAATTTCACCCGGTCGTGGCACTCCACAACCCCCGACAAAACTCATACACTTGATTTCATTATTTCAAAAGGAGCTGGACAACCGGAATCTCATATATTTCTATTGCTCTAGAAACATCGGGATGTTAGGTGTTGCGAGACCCTACGTAAGATTATAGTACGATTACCTGTACCCCTTTCTCGCTTAATGAGCTAGACTAGATTAAGCGGCACTCTAAATCTACGAAAGTTGTTAACAATGCACAAACTAGAATTCCTAGATATTGAGGTATATCTATTCGAGAACTTATGGGGTTCATAAGACACGATGTAGCATTACCCCTACCTATAAACTTTAAATCCAAAACTCGAACCTTGTATACACGACATATAATCATCCAACGCCCGGAAATCTAACGAAGTCACTACCGATACTATTAGTTCACTGCTACTTAAGCCATCCCATCTCTTGCCCTAGTACGAAGACCAGAATTTTTCGTGAAACCGTTCTAAACAGGAAATGTTCATCAAGTATTAACACCTGCGATAACCCCTGCAGTCCCCTTCAGTAGAGACCTCACCATCTCTTTACACTCTCCATTCACTACATCTTCCTCCTCACAGTTCGCCCAAAGAGCACACTAACCAGCAGACTGCTTCCATCCCACCCACTCCACAACTCCCCACCACGCGATCTCGGTACAAGCTCCCATCCAAACGGGACTCAACCCCCCAACACCCGAAAATCTCCCACCACAACCCAACCGCACCAATCAAACCCCCTCGCTTACCCAAGCCCCCACAAAAGCCGCGAAACAACATTCATATTCCAAAATAAGCTAGCAGCCATCACCAAAAACTGGGATTAAACCTGTCCGCCTGGCCCAGTAAGTTAGTGTGTGCACCTACAAGCGCCAACTCCCAAAGCACCAACACCACAACTGTTTCCTCCGTTAATTTGGACGCTCCCTGGTCAAGCGTCAGACTGATCGGTCGTAGATAAATGTAGGTTCTCCTTGAGTCCCTGAAAATGCTTGTACTAATCCTGTCTAGGTAGAAAAAAAAGATTATAGTATATCTTTTTTTGATTTTTTTTCCATCTCTCCGTATTTTATTCTAGGCTTTTAGAAGAATTTAACTATAAAACAAGTACTTAGGTTTCTCCTAGGGCCTCCCCTCGATAGCGCCGGGAGTCTAAGGTTTTATAGTTTTATAGTTTTTTTCTTCTATTCCTATTTTAAGTTAGAGATTTTATAGTTAATTTATTCGTAAACCTAGAAGCGCTAACTCTTAGAGTACTAATTCCCTAATATCATAATTCTATTTAAAGTATATTTAATTATATAAATTTAAAGATATATACTAAGTTATATAAAAAGATTTATATATATAGATATATAGATATAACGTAGTCCACAAGCGAGTTGGATTCCCAAGCGAAATGGATTTTTTTTCTTGGCATTTTATAAATTCTTAAATATCTCACGACACAATTAATTAAATTAATTACAGTATTCAGAATCGGAATCCTCACATATTTCTTCTCCTTTTTGACAAGTTCGTATGTTATGGCCATGTTTCCCACATAGTCCACAGCGCCGGCGAGGTACTAGACTCGGGCTCGTACAATTACTATTTTCTACCAAAACCACTTGTTCTTGCGAATCAACATTACTAAGGACCCCTAAATCTTGCGCATCTTGGAGAGTAAGTGATCCTCCTTCCTGTAATCGGCGC